GCTTTATTTAAAATATCAAAAAGAAGAAGATGGTTGAAGAAAGAAAACAAAAGTTGGTATTGTTGAATCTTGAAAGTTAGTAGAACGTGGACCTTCCTTTGCTTGCGGCGGCAAAAAATTATGCTTACTTTGTTCTCTTACACGACATCAATCTGGAAAATCTGGTCTTGTCTCTGCGTCATTAATGATGATTATCCACAAAACCCGAAACACAAAAAACCAACTTCAAATGTCAACGAGATTCATGTGGACAACGTGGCAAAGTCGTAATTCATACTGTATTTTGGTCTCTAGAAGAAAAAAGTTTTGGGCTTTGGATTCTGAAATATAGAAACTTTAAATAAGATTTTGATTATCTTCAAGAACCATTTTTTACTTGGGCTTCATTCATCAAGAAGAAGCCTTTGTTTCTTTTTCTTCACTACCTATAATATTCAGTCACAACATACACGTGCGATAGCCATTAGCTTTAAAACTCAACAACCAATCTATAAACTTTAAACTTTTGATTCTTTTGATTTTTCTACCCTTTTGTTCTTGTTCTTTGAATTTGGTACTAAATGAACCAACTGAACAAGCAGAGTAATTAAGGTCCTTTTTGATAGAAAACAAACTACAGGGTTAATTTGAGAGAATAAATAAGTAGGTGGGTGTCTATAGGAAGTTTTGGAAAGTAATAATAATAATTGTTTTCTGCAATCAGTTTATCTTCTTGAAAAGGCGAAAGATGTCTATAAATTGCTTTCGAACAGCGAAGGCACCGCTCCAAACATTTGCATCAGTAGCATCGATTTCGAGACACAGAGAGTTATCGAATCGTCTCGTTTCTGTATTCGGAAGCAAGTCGTCTCCTTTGTTTGTTACTCTCAGAGTAGTTTCATCAATGGCTTACGAGAAAGAGCTTGATGCTGCTAAGAAAGCTGCTTCACTTGCAGCTCGTCTCTGTCAGGTTTGGGTGTTTACGTCTTGTTTTTTCTCTATTCAATCATGAACCAGATGCTAAAATTTGAATTTTCTGAAAACCCATTTCGTAATCTTTCGAATTTCGTTTCTAATTTTGTGATTGGAATCTGAAGTTTTTGATCTGGGTTTGAAGAGGAATGTGTGTATACTTCTATAATTGGGAATAGAATCTAGTGCTTATAGTGTAATGATTCACCTTGTATTGGCTTAATCATCTTTTCACCGAGGCTTGTGTGAATCTGTGATCCAAATTTTCTCTAACGTTCTTGTTTTGGTTTGCTTCAGAAAGTTCAAAAGGCTCTGTTGCAATCAGATGTTCAATCAAAATCTGATAAAAGTCCAGTGACCGTTGCTGATTATGGTTAGTTTCTCTCTTTAAAATCTTACTGAGATTGCAATGAAATCACAAGTCACTGGCTTTGGTCACATTCTTAATCTGTCTTGTGTTGAGTTTCAGGTTCACAAGCAGTGGTTAGTTTAGTCCTAGAAAAGGAACTTAGTTCGGAACCTTTATCATTGGTGGCCGAGGAGGTGAAATAGCTTGATAACACCTTTTGTTAGATGTATCTCACATTACTTATCTTGAGTTTAGGACTCACATTGTCTTAAAACTATGTATATAGGACTCGGGTGATCTACGCAAGGATAGTTCTCAGGATATTCTTGAGCGCATCACGAAACTTGTGAACGACACTTTGGCTACCGAGGAATCGTTTGGTGGTTCTACTTTATCCACAGATGATCTACTCAGAACCATTGACTGTGGCTCATCTGAAGGTGGTCCAAATGGTCGACATTGGGTCTTGGATCCTATTGATGGCACTAAAGGGTAAATTTTAAAACAATCTACGCTAAAACCAGATCTTCTTATCTCAGAGTAAAATGGTAAATTGATTGCTTATCTGATTGTTTGGCGCGATTTTTTCAACTTAAGCTTTCTGAGGGGAGATCAATACGCGGTAGCACTAGGATTACTCGAGGAAGGGAAAGTAGTTTTAGGTGTTCTTGCTTGTCCAAACTTGCCATTAGCATCCATAGCAGGAAACAACAGTAGCAAGAACTCTTCATCAAACAAAATCGGATGCCTCTTCTTTGCTACAATTGGTTCAGGAACATATATGCAGCTCCTAGATTCGAAATCTCCTCCCGTCAAAGTACAAGTCTCTAGTGTTGAGAATCCTGAAGAAGCATCGTTCTTCGAGTCATTTGAAGGAGCACACTCTCTTCATGATTTATCCAGCTCCATCGCCAATGTAAATTACTACTCTTTCCTTCCATGTGATTCCAGCGAATAACTAACTAATTCCGCATCCATTTGATCACGCTCTCTCCTGATATATACAGAAACTCGGTGTCAAAGCGCCACCTGTCCGTATCGATAGCCAAGCTAAGTATGGAGCTTTATCAAGAGGAGATGGAGCTATTTACTTACGGTTTCCTCATAAAGGATACCGCGAAAAGATTTGGGACCATGTCGCTGGTGCTATAGTTGTCACAGGTAACATAAAGCTTCCTCTTTATATGGCTGATTTTGACAATACCGATAGGCAAATGTAATTAACTCAAGATCGGTTTCTTTTTTCTTTTGTGGCGCAGAGGCGGGTGGAATCGTGACTGATGCAGCGGGAAAGCCACTGGATTTCTCGAAAGGGAAGTATCTTGATTTGGACACAGGCATTATCGTTGCTAATGAGAAGCTAATGCCTCTGCTTTTGAAAGCTGTTCGTGACTCCATAGCTGAGCAAGAGAAAGCTTCAGCTCTCTGA